ATCCCACGGAATCCCGGACTGGTTTGGGCTGGATTGATCCTAAATCNCAGCCCCTCCTCAGCCTCCCAGGGAGGAATTCCTTCCCAGTGTCCCATCTCAATCTCTCCTTGAGTTTAAAATCATTCCCCTTTGTCCTGGCACTGCAGCTCCTTGTTCAAGGTCCTTCTCCTGTAGGTTCCTTTCCCTGGAATTCCCAATTTCCAATCTCCCACCCATCCCTGTGCCCTGTCCCTCCATCCCTTGTCCCCAGCCCCTCCCCAGCTCTCCTGCAGGCTCCCTTTACCAGAATCCCCAATTCCCAATCTCCCATCCATCCCTGTGTCCTGTCCCTCCCTGCCCTGTTCCCAGTCCCTCCCCAGCTCTCCTGCAGGCTCCTTTCCCTGGAATTCCCAATTTCCAATCTCCCACCCATCCCTGTGCCCTGTCCCTCCATCTCTTGTCCCCAGTCCCTCCCCAGCTCTCCTGCAGGCTCCTTTCCCTGGAATCCCCTCCCAGCCAGGAATTCCCAATCTCCCATCCATCCCTGTGCCCTGTCCCTCCATCCCTTGTCCCCAGTCCCTCTCCAGCTCTCCTGGAGGCTCCCTTTACCAGAATCCCCAATTCCCAATCTCCCACCCATCCCTGTGTCCTGTCCCTCCATCTCTTGTCCCCCAGTCCCTCTCCAGCTCTCCTGCAGGCTCCTTTCCCTGGAATCCCCAATTCCCAATCTCCCATCCATGTCCCTGTGTCCTGTCCTTCCATCCCTTGTCCTCAGTCCCTCCCCAGCTCTCCTGTAGGTTCCTTTCCCTGGAATTCCCAATCCCCAACCTCCCATCCATCCCTGCCCTGTCCCTGTGTCCTGTCCCTCCATCCCTTGTCCCCAGCCCCTCCCCAGCTCTCCTGCAAAGGAATCCCCAATTCCCAATCTCCCACCCATCCCTGTCCCTCCATCCCTTGTCCCCAGCCCCTCCCCACCTCTCCTGCAGGCTCCTTTCCCTGGAATCCCCAATTCCCAATCTCCCACCCATCCCTGCCCTGTCCCAGCCCCTGCTCCCCTGCAGGGTGCCCAGNCAGCCCCTCCTCAGCCTCCCAGGGAGGAATTCCTTCCCAGTGTCCCATCTCAATCTCTCCTTGAGTTTAAAATCATTCCCCTTTGTCCTGGCACTCCAGCTCCTTGTTCAAGGTCCTTCTCCTGTAGGTTCCTTTCCCTGGAATTCCCAATTCCCAATCTCCCACCCATCCCTGCCCTGTGGCAGTGGGAGCCATTCCCTGGGTCCTGTCCCCAGCCCCTCCCCAGCTCTCCTGGAGGCTCCCTTTACCAGAATCCCCAATTCTCAACCTCCCACCCATCCCTGTCCTGTTCCCAGTCCCTCCCCAGCTCTCCTGCAGGCTCCTTTCCCTGGAATCCCCAACCTTCCATCCTTTGTCCCCAGTCCCTCTCTAGCAGGCTCCCTCCACTGGAACCCCCAATTCCCAATCTCCCACCCATCCCTGTGTCCTGTCCCTCCATCCCTTGTCCCCAGTCCCTCCCCAGCTCTCCTGCAGGCTCCCTTTACCAGAATCCCCAATTCCCAATCTCCCACCCATCCCTGTCCCGTTCCCAGTCCCTCCCCAGCTCTCCTGGAGGCTCCTTTCCCTGGAACCCCCTCCCAGCCAAGAATTCCCAATCTCCCATCCATCCCTGCCCTGTCCCTGTGCCCTGTCCTTCCATCCCTTGTCCCCAGTCCCTCTCCAGCTCTCCTGTAGGTTCCTTTCCCTAGAATTCCCAATTTCCAATCTCCCATCCATCCCTGTGCCCTGTCCCTCCATCCCTTGTCCCCAGTCCCTCCCCAGCTCTCCTGGAGGCTCCTTTCCCTGGAATCCCCAATTCCCAATCTCCCATCCATCCCTGCCCTGTCCCTGTGTCCTGTCCCTCCATCTCTTGTCCCCAGTCCCTCTCCAGCTCTCCTGCAGGCTCCCTCCACTGGAATCCCCAATTCTCAACCTCCCACCCATCCCTGTCCCTCCCTGTCCTGTTCCCAGCCCCTCCCCAGCTCTCCTGCAGGCTCCCTTTACCAGAATCCCCAATTCCCAATCTCCCATCCATGTCCCTGTGTCCTGTCCCTCCATCCCTTGTCCCCAGCCCCTCCCCAGCTCTCCTGCAAAGGAATCCCCAGTTCCCAATCTCCCACCCATCCCTGCCCTGTCCCAGCCCCTCCCCAGCTCTCCTGCAGGCTCCCTCCACTGGAATCCCCAATTCTCAACCTCCCACCCATCCCTGTCCCGTTCCCAGTCCCTCCCCAGCTCTCCTGCAGGCTCCTTTCCCTGTAATTCCCAATTTCCAATCTCCCACCCATCCCTGCCCTGTCCCAGCCCCTGCTCCCCNCCCAGACCCCACAGAATCCCTGAATTGTTACACAGGGGTGACAAACACTGAGATGGGACAGCCCAGACCCCACAGAATCCCTGCATTGTTACACAAGGATAATAAACACTGAGATGGGGCAGCCCAAACCCCACAGAACCCCTGAATTGTTACACAGGGGTGACACACACTGGGATTTGGGACAGCCCAGACCCCACAGAATCCCTGGGATTGTTACACAGAGGTGACAAACACTGAGATGGGACAGCCCAAACCCCACAGAATCCCTGAATTGTTACACAGGGGTGACAAACACTGGATTTGGGACATCCCAAACCCCACAGAATCCCTGGATTGTCACACAGGGGTGACAAACACTGAGATGGGACAGCCCAAACCCCACAGAATCCTTGGATTGTTACACAAGGGTGACCCACACTGGATTTGGGACATCCCAAACCCCACAGAATCCCTGAATTGTTACACAAGGGTGACAAACACTGAGATGGGGCATCCCAAACCCCACAGAATCCCTGGAATTGTTACAAAAGGGTGACAAACATTGAGATGGGACAGCCCAAATCCCACAGAATCCCTGAACTGTTACAAAAGGGTGACAAACATTGAGATGGGACAGCCCAAACCCCACAGAATCCCTGGATTGTCACACAGGGGTGACAAACACTGAGATGGGACAGCCCAGATCCCACAGAATCCCTGGAATCACTGAATTGTTACACAAGGGTGACCCACACTGGGATTTGGGACATCCCAGACCCCACAGAATCCTTGGATTGTTACACAAGGAAAATAAACACCGGGCTGGCACATCCCAGACCCCACAGAATCCCTGGAATCCCTGAATTGTTACAAAAGGGTGACAAACACTGAGATGGGACAGCCCAGACCCCACAGAATCCCTGGATTGTTACACAGGGGTGACAAACACTGAGATGGGACATCCCAGACCCCACAGAATCCCTGGAATCACTGAATTGTTACACAAGGGTGACANCAGAGCCGTGCCAGGAGCGAGCCGTGCCAATCGGGCACAGAGCAAACCCAACCGCAGCCCCGAAGGTTCGGATCCCAATTTCCCCATTCCCGACATCCCGAGGCAGCGCGGGGCGGTGCTGACCCCTAGCGAGGGATGCCTGGGAAAAGGGAAATTCCTGGGATAAATCTCCCGTCCCACCGCGCTCCATTCCCTGCCCCTCCTGCCCAAGGCTCCTCGGGCACGGGCACAGAGCAGCTTCTGAGAAACTGGCACAAGAAATCCCCGATTTTGAGATATTTTCAATAAATGTGTCCCCATGAGGATCAAAGCCCTTTCCACCGCAGCTCAGAGGGGAATTTGTCCCCCAGGACTGGGGCAGGAGCCTGAAGGGCTCAGCAGTGGAACTCGAACAGGAACTGCAGGGCTGGAAATGCAGCCTGGAGGGAACAGCAGAGCAGCTCCTCCTGCCACCAGAACGGGGCAGAGTTCAAGAGAAGCAGAACAGCAAAATTCAATTTAATTCTCTCCCTCCCAGCAGTGGGGGCAGCTTTGCCTTTGGATCCTCAAAGAGAAACTTGCCTCAAACTCTCCACCCTTCTCAGGGGATAAAATATCCCAACAACCCCCAAAGGCAGCAACAGAACCCTCAACAAGCAAAAACCACAGGGGCCAGTGTGCAGTGGAAGGTTTTATTTAAAAACACCCAAAATTGACAATTCTGCAGGGAAACCAGCCAGCCAAGGCTCTGAGGAGCCAGCAAGCACCAGTAAAACCAGCACAGCCCAGGGCAGGGAGCCCCAAGGTGCTGCTCTGCTTTTCTCCTTCAGAATCCAAACTTTCACCCAAAAGGTCCTTCAGGAAAATGAGAATTTTCCAGGGACATCAAAGAAATCTCCACTGAAAAGTCTCTTTTAAAACCAACTTTAAGACTGCGAGCTCTGCTTAAATTAAAAAGATTAAATTAAGAATATTCTACATCAAATGCAGCATTTTTATGCTAACAGACTCCTCCATCTGCAGCCAAACACAGGCAAAGGCTCCTGAGCTTTTTGTGGCACACAGAATTCCCTGGAGCCATCCCAGGAACATTCCCCATTCCCAGGGCTCCACAAACCTCCTGTGCAGCAAGATCTGCTCACTTCAGGGATAATTCATCTAATTACCTGGAGGAGTAATTAAACCAAAGCAAAGGGCACTCTGCAGGAGCTCTGGGAACTGAATGAAATGAAATTCCCACTGAAACGATGGGAAAAGGATGACTTCCAGCATGGAATTCAAGGCTTTTCCCTCTGAAAGCAAAACTCAATTCTTGCTTTAATTAATTTTATAGCTTTTAGTCATTAACTCTTAAAAATAAATCAGTTTTCACATTATTCAGGCTTGGAGAGGTTATTGCTGTTCCTGCCCTGGGACAAATTCCAAGGTGAACAATTTTGTCCTCTGGAGTTGGAGATTCCTCTGCAATACTCACTTGGGAGTTTTATCAGGAAAACAAATCAGAGCAACGAAGGTGTCAAGGAGAGCTGGGAACCCCCACCTCCATCCAGGCTCACCCCAATTCAGTCACTGAATTTTCCAATTTCACAGCCAGAAATGAAACCCTGGCCCTGGCTCAGCTACTCACGGAGGGTGTGAGGCTGCAGCAGCCACTCAGAGGTTCCACCAGAGCCAAAATTCCCATCAGGATCTCTGCACTGCCCAGGCACGAGGAGTTTGAGGCAATATTTCAAATCTAGGATCTAGGCTGGCAGCAAAGCTCTGTGGCCCAGGAAATTCAGATATTGCTGCTCCTCCAAGGGCCAAGCTGCTATTTCAGCACACTTCTGTGGGCCAGGGTTGAGAAACAGGAGGAGTAATGAGCTGGGAGCTGCAAAAAAATAAAATTAAGACATTCCTCAGCTTCTGAGGTGGGCCAGCCTTTGATCCCTTTCCTTCATTCCACTTTTAATTATTGGGAGATTTCCTTCTGAGACAAAGTCCCAAAACTTCACTCAGAGGTGCAGCTGCTGGCTGTTAAAACCAGGCAAACTCGTTAAATAAACCCCTGATTATTCTGGTTTTGGATTGTCTGTGACCCCCTGTTGGTGATACCTGAGCTCCAAGCCTGGACAGGTATTTATTCCTTAAACTAAAGGCATCAGCTTTTGGCAGCAATTTTGCCAAATCATCTTCGTTCTGCCTTCTGAGCCTCTCCTGCTCTTCTGCTCTGCAAAAGAAAAGTGGCACAAAGGTGTTTGCCCTGGGGGAAAACCTGCCCAGCAGGGAACTGTTGGAATATTATTTAATATTGTTCTTTTAATAGCTAGGAAATGTTCTGGGGTATCAGGTGAATGAGCATGAGATCCATAATTCAGTGTAAATAAAGAGAGAGGCTGATTTCTGCAGGTTCCTTTTATTTCAGTCCAAGATTTCAGTAGAAAGAGAAACCTTTTGGTTTTCCCCAGATTACAACGTGCTCAGGGAGTTCTGTAACAACTTTTCTATCTATTAAACAAACTTTCATCCTTAAAATAAACATTACGATACAAAGAGAATCCAGAAGGCAATAAAAGACTGCTCAGCAGTCTCAGAGTTCAGAAATCTACAAAAAAACAAAAGTCCCTTTGAGCATCTGTGGCTCTTTTTGCATTGTGTTGAAAGGACACAACCCCAAAGCTGGAAATACATTGAAAAAGTGGATTTTGCATTTTGACAGTGACAGAAGCAGCAGCAGTGAGCTGTGGGAGCTCTGGGTGAGAACACAAAAATGCTTTTTGCTCCAAGGGGCTCTGAGCTTCCCTCCAGGTGGGCAGCAGAGCTCAGCCCAGCAGGAAAAGGAATTTTGGCATTGCTGAAACACAGCAGGGGCTGAGGCAGGGCTGGAACCCCAGAGATCTTCCAGAGAGCCCCAGAGCAGCCCCAGCCCTGCTGCTGGAGCTCCCACCTGCAGGGCTTTGCTACTCAACTTTCCTTTCTGAAAGAAACAGGGGACAACAATTACTGCAAACCCTGGCCTGGGGCAGCCAGACCCCACAGAANCCAGGAAAACGGGAACGTGAAACGTGGAATAAATATAAAAAATGGAAATGGAAACTGTGAAAAACAAAGTTCCGGTTTTTACGTTTAGTAAGCTTTCTAAATTTTTACGAGGTAAAATTTAAAAAGTTTGCTAAAAAGGCAGTAGGAGACAGCAGTAAAGCAAAGGGTTAAAAACAGCCGGGTGCCTGGCCCTCAGCCAAGAGCACGCCTGCTATTCTGCTAACACCCTTTAGTTACCATTTCTATTGTATCGGCCTGCTACACAGCCACAGACCCCCCTGTCACCGTGAGATTTTATGAAAAATCCCTTCACCAGGATTTCTTCTCCTGGGAAGCTGTGACTCTTCAGCTTCTCCTGTTTTGCTCCTTTGGAATGTGATTTGGAGAATTGTTTATCCAGCATGTGAATTGTTTTTAAATAATGGCCACTCCCAGCCAGCTGTGTCTGGTCTGTCACGGGTTTTTATTCTTCATTCTTGTTCTAGCCTCCTGATATATCCTTTCTTTGGTATAGTTTTAGTATATCATTTTCTTTTAACATAACAATATAAAATAATAAATCAGCATTCTGAAACATGGAGTCAATTCTCATCTCTCACCTTGTCCTGGGGACCCTCACAACACCCAACACCCTCATGCATAGTAAACTTTTCCCCAAACACATTTACATGTTCTTAACGAGGCACAACCACTTGTGATTTAAGCCAAAAGATTTATTTACCTTTCCAAGGTAATAATAATTTATTCACCTTTTCAAGGTGTAGAAAGCAAAGGGCTGAGTTCACCTCCCAGTCACCCTGTCATGAATTTGGTAAGGAACCATGGAAGAAAGTCAAAACAACCTCTCCAAACATGCAGGCATCGTGTTGTGAATCAGTGCAGACTCCTCTGGGACACAAATCACTTCATTTCACTTGGTACATGTCTGTTCAGAGACCTGCCAAAAGAGAAATGTGATATTACATGAATCATGTTCAACTGCTCCAAACTCCTTTAGGTTCCTTGAAATCTGAGCACCTCAGGTTACCACAGTGGCTGTGAAAAACATGGTCTGAAATTACAGGGATTCCTTGGAAAAGCAGTTGTGCAACCAATTGAAGAGTTTCAGTGACAAACTCGAGGATTTCAGTGACAAACTCAAGGGGTTTTGTAAAAAATTAGAGTTTCAGTGACAAACTTAAGAGTTTCAGTGACAAATTCAAGGGGGTTTGTAAAAACTCAAGGGTTCCAGGGACAAACGCAAGGATTTCTGTGACCAACTCGAGGGCTCCAGTGACAAACTCCAAGGTTTCATTGCCACTTGAGGGAGCTCAAAGATAATTGTCCCTGCAGAGCCCCCTGGAGTTTCCTGATTCCAGGAGACAATTTCTATCCACAGAACAGATAACTGTGGGGAGCAAAGCTAAATCGAGCCTGGGGTTGTGTTTATCTTGTTCTGTGTAACATCAGGCTCTTTGTCAGAGAGTGAGAAATTACAGCCATGCACCCAGAATATTTAACAGGAACAAAAGACTGTTTTCTATTTGTAAATTCCCAGTATTTGCCTTTCCCCCATCACCTCCACCTTTCCCTTGGCTGGCTGTGATGTTCCTGTGAGCTCACATGCATTGCAGTGAGTGTTTACATCCCAAATAAATGCAGAAGATTGCTATTAAACTGAGGCTTTAGAATGTTGGTTACAGATGCAGTTGCTGCCTCCCCATAAATCAGAGCACTTAAAGTGCCATATGATGCCAAATGCTGTGGTTAGCAGCAGCAGATGGAGGAAATGCTGTGCACAGAACTTTATGAGGGCCATAAAACCCTCATGGCCTCCCCTCCTTGCCCAGATCAGGTGCAGGGAGCGCTCAGGACAGCAAACACTCCCAGGAAACAAGGAAGAATCTCAGGGTTCAGCTGCTCAGAGGCAGTGCTGCCTTTGGGGAGATGCATCAAACTGCAGTGAAGCAGGAGCTGTGTTCCACATGATTAAACTGACTCCACCATCATTGCCCCATTATCCATTTCCTGAAGGAAAACTCTCATACTTCCCCCCAAAGGATGAGGGATCTGTCATACACGGGCATGCAAACTGTTTTTAACCCCTCCATGTGCTGAGGAATGGGTGTTACAAACCTCTGTGTCTCACTCAAACATGACTGGGTGTTTGTGCAGCATCCCAAGACAAGTCTGACTTGTTCAGAGTGCTGGGAAGAGGCTGAGAAAGCGTTTCTGCCCTCTCTGAGAGCAAAGATCCTGGCTTAAGGAAGCTCCTGTGGCTGGGAGGGATCCAGTGCCACACACACAGCTCCTGCCTCTGCTGAGTGCCACGAGCACAGCTGGGGTGGGTTTGTGGCTCCTGCTGTTAATAGTGCTCAATATTGTTCTGATCCTTCCTGAGATTCACAGCTCCTCCCAAGGGCAGCTGCTGCCAGGCTCCTTCTCCAAAGCCAGCTCAGGTAATGGAGTGAAAAGCCCCCAGGAGCACCATTAATGATGTGCAGCTGCCAAGGCAGCACTTCCAGGAGATTGTTCTGATGTTCCAAAACAGGCTGGACAGGGCTTGGAGCTGCCTAGTCCAGTGGCAGATGTGGGATGAGATGATTTTAAGGTCCCTTCCCACCCAAACCAGTCTGGGATTCTGTGATTCTGGGAATTCAGAGGGCTGTGGGGACTGTACCTGAATTTCTGGGTAACACTTGAACTTGGCTCCGTGCACAACTTTCCCTTTGTGCCTGTTTTCCTCAGGATACACAAATTCCTCCTGGTGGACCTTAACAGTGCTAAGTTCTAAAAATCCCCAGGTGATTTGGTGGAAATAGTGAACAACAACAGTTCCTGAGAGCCACTGAGCATTTCCATGGTTCATCTTTGAAAAGATGAATGTTTGCCTTCTCAAACATTCACACTTCTTAAAACTCTCATGTTTCTTCCAGCAGGATGGACANTTTGGTATTTTATTTCCATTTAGGGCTGAATCCCAGAAATAAATACTTGCTATTTTATTTCTATTTAGGGCTAAATCCCAGAATTCAGTATTTAATTTCTGTTTAGTTGTGAGTTACCATGGCTATCCAGGGGTTCCAGAAGGTGAAGGCCAGCAGGATGTGTGAGGCCAGCGTGGTGACCACAGCACACAGCACCCAGATGATGTTCTTGCCAACCTTATCCACCAGCAGGCCAAACACTGGGGACATGGGGGCTGAGATGATGTACACGATGCTGCAGGACAGGGAAATTCAGATTTAACACCCCCAGGGTTTGTTAACTGCAAGGCCAGAAGGAAAAAGCACCCCACAAAAAAATCCCAGGAATTCAGAATTCCCAAAGGGTTTGAGGACATGAAGTGCTCAGCACCCACCAGTGACAGACTCAGGGCCCAGAAGTTTCCTTGTGGGGTTTTACTGCTTTGGGCTTTGGCCACGTCACAAATTCACCCTCAGACTGCCCAAACTGAGTTCCTTTAGTGCTGTTATTAAACTGCTTTTATCACTCAGAAAAGAATCACTAAACACTAAAATAAAACCCTCCAGAGCTTTTTCTTTCCAGTGTGAACATCTGTTTTTAATAAAAAACACATCCACATTTCCCAGTTATTCCTTGGGTTGTGTGAAATTATTTCTCCAATTAAATGCAGCTCAGAGGAGAGCCCAAACCTCTTCCCACCTGCCCAGAACCCAAAAATCCATCCCAAACCCTGGTAGTGTCCTTACTAAATCAAGCACAATGTACCTGTTGATTGCACTGGCTTCTTGAGGGGAAAATCGGAATTTTTCAATAAAGAAAACCCTGAGGGAAGGAAAAAAAAAATTTAGGAAAATGCAGACTTGAAGGATGTGAAATCGAAATTAAGTTAGATAAAGACATGGGAATCTTATTTACAAAAATATTAAATAGAGCTTTGACATAAATATCCCAGATTTTTGTCTATAATTAATTTAGGAGCTTGCTGTCAAACTCCACAGATTTTAATTTAAGGATCATTCAAATTACACTTTGGGGAACACATGAAAAGTCCATAACCAACATTTAACCCAAATAATGAAGTACTGGCTTGTCAATATGGAAGGAATCCCACAGGACCCCAAATTCCACCCCATGTTTTAAACCTGCATCCAGTTTTCATCAGGAAACCAAACATTCCTCGTGCCCCTGAGTTTGTAATTCCCAAAGAATGTGAAGTTTTTAAGCATTTGGGTGACAAGCCTGGCCAAATTCCCAGGGAAGGGCTGGAAAGGTGAGTGGCACTTACTTGCCCAGGCCAATGAAAGGGAAAACTGCAGCGTAGTAACAGACACAGATGACAAAGATGAGCCACAAGGACAGGGAGAAATCCTTCACATCTGTCAGCTTGATCACCTCTCCTGCAGGGACACAGCATGGCAGCAGCCAGGATGGGAGAGCACCCAGTGATCCCAAACCCCTCCTGCCCCACAGCCCTGCCTGCAGGGTAAAGGTCCCTTCCCTCCAAACCCGTCTGCGATTCCTCTGGAGCTCAAGTTTTGTTTATTTTTCATTTCCCTGAGCTGTCCCACATGGAAAAGCCAACCCAGCACACACTGACAGGGAGGAGCTCCATGGTTCTGCACCCCTGCCAAAGGAAACTCCAAGGAAACTCAGAACCAGTGGCACAAATTGGTGCAAGCTTTTGTTTTTATAAATACAGCAGCTGGCAGAGCATCTGCCTGCTGAGCTGGTGTTCAAAACTAGAACTCCATGTCAAAATGAGCTAAATAGCTGGTGCATTCCAGGAAGGGTCAGCCCCAGCCCAGCCCCAGCACTCACCTGTTTTGCCCTGCTCCTTACAGAGCAGCCTCTCTGCCCTCCTGTCCAGGTAAGCCAGGACCAGAGCACAGCTCAGTGAGAACACACAGGTGACCCCACCTGCAGAAGGCAACACCTCATGGTCAGCTCACAACTCCAGCAGGGATTTGGGTTTGCAGCCCAATCAGAGCAGGTTTTGTTTGGTGTTTTATAAATATTTGGTATTTATAAACCTGGACATGTCAGGCACACCAAGTTTAGCACCAGCTCCCAGGCTGAAGAGCTGCACAGGTGTAAAACAGAACCTGCCTTGGAGCACAGACATGCACATGGATTTATTTTATTTTATTTTATTTCAATCATCACCATCACTCCCCCTCAGCTCCTCATCTGCCCCTGGCAGGAACAGAAACAAACCTGGCCTCATTCCCAACACCAACTCTCCATGCCCTTGGCTCTGGAGCCCCAAAATTGTTCAAATTCCCCTTTTACAATCAGATAACCACAGGCAAGCTTTGACACTCTTCAGAAAAGTTTCCAAGCCTGTCCTTTGCTCAGAGAATGTGAAATATTTCATCTGCACAAGACAAACTTGAATGTGACAACCTCAAAAATGCCCCGAAAAGCATTTCAGAAGCTGCAATAACCTGAGAGAAAATGAGAAGATGATGCAAAAGGTGCTGGAATTGCTCCTCCGAAGCTCAAACAGAGTAGTACTGCTTTTAAGGGGTCAATAAATGCTTTTAAGTGATTAAAACCCAGACCATCACTGACCTATGAGCAGAGCCAGGCCGAGGGTGCTGGGACCAGCGTGGCCCAGCAGATCCTGCACTCTGGAGTAGATCCATCCCATAATGTTCATGTTCACCGTGCTCCCCTAGGCACAACAGAGCCACGTGAAGAACCCAGCACCTCCCAGCCCCAGGGATTCACCACGAGTGTTTATTATCAAAATGCCACCCAGGGGACAGCAGGGAAAAGCATCCAAGGGATTCCCTGCTGGGCTGGTAACAAATCCATCATTCCAACAAGGGTAAAACATCACAAATTGGAGTTTGGACAGGTCTGGAGGAGTTTTCACTGATGAGAAGTGCATAAATCCACGAGCTCATCAGCTGAGCTGAATTTAACAGAGCTGACCAAACAGGATTCCCAGCTGCCAGGAGCAGGGAAAAGCCCCATTTGCCCTCCTTCTGTCCCCAGGGGAGGATCCATGGCTGCCACCAGTGCCACCCCCAGCCCCAGCAGGGTTACCCTGCAGTGCTGAAAGCCCCAAAAGGAGCCCCAAAGGAGAACCCAGCCCTTGTGGCCATGCCCACTCACAATCCTGGCCATGCTGAGCTGCAATCCAAACACCAGGTTGAGCTCCTTGCCCTTGAACCAGCTGACAGCATAGGTGTTCTGGGCCACGGCCAGGGACTCGCCCCCAATCCTGCCAAAGCAAACACAGCACTGCAAACAGGGCCTGGGGAGGGCAGGACCCCAGAGAAACCCCCATGCACAGGCTGATGGTGCAGCTCTGTGTACACAGAAAGCAAAATGGAAATTGCAGAACAATCCCAGAGGTTTGGATTCAGCAACTCCTGGGTTTGGTTTTCTAAGTTCCACAATGGAAAGAACTGGAGATCCTGCACTCCCCAGCTCCAGAGGGCCCAGAATGCTCAGTTTTGGCTCCCCATGGCAGCACTTTTCCAGGAGAGCTTTCCAGGGTTGGTTTTTGTAGTTTTCCAGATGGCCTTACCTCAAAGAGCACAAATCTGCCCTTCCAGACTCACCCAAAAATGAACCTGCCCACTTCCATCAGCCAGAAGGTGTTGAACAGGGCTCCCAGAGCAAAAACCACCTGCCCAGCAGCAAAGGAAAATGGAGAGTGTGCATTTCAGGCATGGGACAAAGCACAGCTGGCTGAAAACAGGAACAAAAATGATTTTCCCTTCCCACACCCATTTCCTGCTCATTTCGGTTTTTGCTCCCTCTGCTGTTCAACATCTCCAGCCTGGCCCACCTGGGACTGTGCCATCCTCAACCAATTTCACATCCAACANCACACTGGATTTGGGACATCCCACATCCCATCAGTGCTGTGATTTAGGCTCAAACCACCACATTTTGTATCACATTTCAGTTTGAGGCCACTGAAATAAATGAAGGCAAAGAGGAACAGAGCCAGGAAAGGACACCTGGATAACGCTGCCTCAAATATTGACTCACAGGAGGCAGGATATGAAATCCTGAAACAGACTAAAGAAAATAAATCCACCAGAAATCAGAGTGGAGAAATGATCTCCTTAATCCCTCCAGGACAAACCCTTCCCAAGGCAGTGACATTTGCTGGCTCTGTACTTACTCAGAAGCAGCTGCCTTCTGCAGTTTTGCCCTTTTCTTTGCAGACCAGTTGAGATCCCCACCTGTAAGAGCAGCAATGGGCACTGAGACCTTTAAAGCTGAGCTTTGGGATCAACACTCCCCCAGGAGCTGTCAGGGCACTGGGAAAGCACAAGAATGGTTTCACAGAGGTACAGACTGAGGAGCAGCTGCAGACTCACCTGTGAGGTGATTCACAAAGTACAGCATGACCACAGCCAGCAGTGACACTGCAAAGGCAAAGGGACAGCTTTAGCTGACCAGAAATGAACAGGTTTGACCCCAGATCTTCATGGTGGCTCTGACTCAGAGGAGTTTCTGCTTTTGTAAATCTCCCTGTGCTCACAGCACGTGGTAATTCAGAAAGGACTTGAAAATTAATCTTATAATTTACACTTTAAAAAGCATTATTTGTCTATTTTTACTCAACTTTTTAAACACTGAAACTCTCCAAGCCCCAAGCACTTCACTGGCTGTGAGCTCAGCCCACCAGTGCCCCAGCTGGCACCTCTAGAACAGGAATGGTTTCTGTTTTCCAGGGAAATGAACCAAAGAGCCCCATGGAGCTCCCTGAGCCCGCTCCCACACTCACAGCAAACACAGGCACTGAAGAAAACCTCCAGGAACAGGTATCCCCTGGTGTCCAGGATCATGCCAGCTGCTATGGCAATCACTGCCAGGCCCAGGTTCTGGATGGACTGCATGCTGGGACAGAGCAGGAACAGCAGGGATTGCTTTTCTCAGGAAAATGGATTTTCATTTCCCCAGTGGCACTGAGCCCATGGGAGCTGCACTGGCCCCATTTGCTGGGACATGGGGAAGCTCCTGTGCCTCCCCCTCTGTCCCAACCCCATCCCAGAGCAGCCAGGAACCCCTGGAACAGCCTGGAGGAGCTGGAACCAGCACTGGCTTGGATCTGCTCAGACTCTGGTTCCAGAGTGCCAGGGACCAGGGGTGGTGTGGGCTGGAAGGACCTCAAAGCTCCCCCAGGGCCAGGGCAGGGACAGCTCCCACTGGCCAGGGTCAGCCTGGCCTGGGACACTGCCAGGGATCCAGGCTCTGGGAACCCCAGCCCAGCCCCTCCTCAGCCTCCCAGGGAGGAATTCCTTCCCAGTGTCCCATCTCAATCTCTCCTTGAGTTTAAANTTCCATAGCTCAGCCCTGGAATTTCAGGAGGGAGCTGTGATCCTGACTCAGATGCTGCAGGGTGGTGCCACCCAGGCTCAGTGCCCTGGGAATGAAGGAAGTTGCCACCCTGGCCAAGGGCTCTGCTCCCCTGCCCTGGCTGAAGGCCAAGGAGAGCTCACTGTCCCAGGGCTCCTCATCCTCTGGAGAAGGCAGTGCTGGAATGGGTGCCAGAGGGAGCTGCTCCCTGGCAGTGCATCCCTGCAAGCACAGGAACCCTCCTGTTCCCACAGCCAAGGACCCAGCTCCTCTCCCCAGGCTCCTGCAGGCCCCTCTCAGCTCTGTTCTCTCCCTCAGCTCCTCCATTCCCAGGCACATCTCCTGCTCTTGTCCTGCCCAAGGCTGAGCATTTCTGCACATCCAGCAGCTCCTCCTCAGGCATTTCCTCTGCCCTGAACTCTGCTGGAGCCTTTCCAAGACCTGCCTGAGGTGGGCTGGAATTCTTCCCTTCTCTCTGCTGCAGCCTGGAGAACTTTCCAAGCAAACAGCTTTGATTCAGTGGCCCTGTTGTTCCCTGAGCCTGAATTCCTTTGATGATACACCTGATCCCTCACTTTCAATTCATTCCTCCCCTCAGTGGAATTCCTTCTCACCAGCTCTCCCAGGCCTTGGAGCTGAGGAAATTCAAGTAAATTCTATCCCTGTAGTTGACATGGCTATGTTAAATATTCTCACTGGGTTGAGACGGTTTAAAATAAAACCAAAAATGAAAAATCACAATTATTCCAATAATCCTGAGTCATCTCCACATATCCAGCCTTATCTCTGAGTATGAGGCTTTGCTTCATAACCCAGGAAAGTGATACCACGGGGAAAAAAATACAGAAAGCTCTAATTTTGAGGAAAAGAGAAAAGGTGGGAAAGGGGGAGCATAATCATTTCCTTATAGGCAAAGAATTGGAAACAAGCTGGAGAGGGGAGGAAAAAAGCATTTCACAAACTGATAATTCAAATTAGAGGATAAGAAATTCTGCCTAAGTATTTGTTAAAGTAAGGGGCTGGAGAGTGAGGTGAAATGCAATTTTCTTTTTCATTTCCTTCAAAGAGTGAATGAGAAATTATTCTGCACAGCAAGAAAAAAAATCCCTTGTGATCTAATTCTGAAAATATATTGTTTCCTTTAGAAGCATCTTGCTCAACACTTGATTTCACAGTTTCACTGACAGATTACAATTCTTTGCATTTTTATATCCCTGACCTCCCCACCTTGTGGTTTCCAAGTGCAAACAATTTCCTCAGTATCATTCATGGCCTGGCAGAAGGAAACGAGAGTTGTTCCCCATAACTGACAAGTGAATAAATCCAGGTGAGTAACTGGAATACTCCCCTCACCTTTCCTGGCACCACAGCCAGCTCATCCCCCTCAGGAAACGTGAAGGGAGTTATTCCTAACCCAGAGTGTCAAGGAAAGGCCATTCCAGCTTCCCTGGCTTGGAAAATCTGTCATTCCTTAGGGAGCTCCAGGACCCACCTTCCTCCCTCAAGGCAGGGAAATGGTGCTGGGCTTTCACCACCTGGCTCTGAGCTGCTCCTGGGCTCCACATGTCCTTGAAAAGGAGGAGAAGAACAGAATTCCTTGAAAACAACCTGGTTTGAGCAGAAGGAAATGAGAAAAGCAAGTTCTAGATGGTTTTAGTGGAAGTTGTGCTGTGCTTGGAGAACCTTTCCCTCACAGCTTGGTTTATTTCTGTATTTACCTTTTCCATTTAGGCAAATCCTGAATTCCACCCACCCCTTACCAGCAGCACAAGGAACTGATCCCAGAGATGTGAGGGGCACATGGGATTTCACATCTCCCTGCTTCCAGTGGGAACAACATTCCCATTGATATTAATATTTAAACGACTGAATTGCACATATAAACCAAATATTTAAATGAATTGTACATATAAACCAAATTCTCCTTGCATGGGGTAGGAAATCCCACCATGCTGACCTGGCATGGACAGCTCCTGTGGAATCTGCTTTGGTTACACTCAGAGGAGCTGGAACCCTTTTGAACAACAAGTTCTTTGTCCTTTTAGAATCATCCCAGAATCCCTAAGGTTGGAAAAGGCCTCCAGGACCATCAGTCCAGCTGTTAACCCAGCACTAAATCACATCCTCAGGATTTTTAAACACTTCATGGATGGGGACTCCACCACTCCTCACATGGCAACCAGGAGATGAAGTCAGATTAGAAGAAATTGGAGAGAAAATAAATGAAGTTTTCTTTTTCTCTCTTATCTGGAAGGCAAATACAGCTTTTGGGTTGGTTTTTTTTTTTTTTTTTTCCCCTGGAAATTTGAGATCCACAACCACAAAGCATTCATAGAAAATCAGCTCCAAGTTCAAATATCTGACATCTGACAACAAGCGCCAAGGGCAAGGCTCTGGAAAGCGATAGGGAATGGAAAATGGGGAGGGAAAACTGAACTCAGGAAAGGGAACAGATAAAAATCCTGCTTTAGAGAGCCAGGCCAAGTAAGGACATCCCATCCTGCAGCTGGAGTGTTTGCTTCCTTGTGTGAGCTTGCTGGCAAAGCCTGAGCTCACCCTTCTTATGTTGCACCCCAACAATGGGAGCTCTGGGGCAGCCTTGGCTGCAGCAGCCCGGGCTGAGCTCCCTGGATCCAGCTGACATGAGCCCTCTGGGAAAGGGCCTCGTTCCTTGGGGACTGATTGCACCCCTGGGCTCTGCCCAAGCCTGGTGACCGCTGGGGGGTTTGCCTTGGCTCCCCTGAGTTTACATGCCCACCAAACGAGGGGAAACAACTGCTGAGGGCTTTTATAGCTGCTTGAAATCTGATTGCTGCAGGGAATGAGAGCCAGCAGATGCACGGGAGATAAGGGCTGGGAGGAGCACTCTGAGCCCTGCTCTGCTGCTGGGGGGGGGATGGCAGCACCCCCAAACTCAGATCCCAGCTCTGACACTCAGGGTCTCCAAATCTGCATCCTCAGGAATCCAAACCCTTCTTTTCTAAAGTCACTTCACCAAAGTCACTCTGCAAATTGCTCATAATTCATCAGCTTTGTATCATTTTTTGTTTGGAATTCACATGTTAAGTTTTCCTTTTAAGGCTGCCTGTTCCTTCCCTGCTGAGCATTCCTGCCTCCAGCCCGAGCTGTCCCAACATCATTTCAGCTTCTACTCCTCACATTCCCAGCCCATTTTGCTGCACTTTCTGCTCACCAAGCAAAACTGGAGCTTTTCATAAGCTTCTTACAGTGACACCTGAAAGAGCAGTGCTGCTGTCAGCACATTCCCAGCCTTTCCTCCCTGGGAATATTTCCCAGAGCCGGCCTCACACCCTGTGTGCCCCAGAGGAAAAGTGATTTCCCCACCAGGCTGGAGGGCTGGGATTCTCAGGGAGTTGCACCCAGCAGAAAATGCCTGAGAGTGGCTGTGGGTGGTGTCCAGCAGCTCCTCCCTTGTGGCCCAGCAACCTTCCCCAAACACCGAGTGCTTCCAGGAAATGGGAAACAAACACAAATCCCTCGGGATTGGGAAGAGGGCCTGGATGAGTCACTGCCCTCCACAGACTTCTTCAAGGAAATGAGGAAAAATAAATGAGTTCCAGACAGCACAACTGGCTCCCTGGGGCCTTGGCTGGGGTCTGTCCTGCAGCCACAGCATCCCAGTCCCCATGGATGCAGTGCCTGGCCCGGTCCCACTTTGGGGCTGGAAGAAAAGCACCAGCAAACAGCTCTGCTGACACAGCAGCCTGCGGTGGATCTGCAAGGAAACCTTTGTGCTGCTGCAATGCCCTCCTGGTTGCTTTGTGCACTCTGCAAACAGATTTGGCAAGCAGGCATTGTTACCCTGGGATCCTCCTGCAGGGTTTATTCAGGGTGTTTAATACCTGCCACAGCCATCCTGCATTTCTCTGAGCTGGCTCTAAATGCTGGCCCTGAAGTGACAATTTATTGTTGGTTCTGTTGGCTCAGGATAAGCCTCAAAGCCAATAATGGGTATTAAAGTGCCACTCCCAAAGTGTCCCATTCCCAAAGTGTCCCACTCCCAAAGTGTCCCACTCCCAAAGTGTCCCACTCCCAGAGTGTCCCACTCCCAAAGTGTCCCACTCCCAAAGTGTCCCTCTCCCAAAGTGTCCCACTCCCAGAGTGTCCCACTCCCAGTGTCCCACTCCCAGAGTGTCCCATTTCCAAAGTGTCCCAGTCCCAAAGTGTCCCACTCCCAAAGTGTCCCACTCCCAAAGTGTCCCACTCCCAAAGTGTCCCATTCCCAAAGTGTCCCACTCCCAGAGTGTCCCACTCCCAGTGTCTCCCACTCCCAAAGTGTCCCACTCCTAAAGTGTCCCACTCCCAAAGTGTCCCACTCCCAAAGTGTCCCATTCCCAAAGTGTCCCACTCCCAAAGTGTCCCATTCCCAAAGTGTCCCACTCCCAAAGTGTCCCATTCCCAAAGTGTCTCACTCCCAAAGTGTCCCTCTCCCAAAGTGTCCCACTCCCAGAGTGTCCCTCTCCCAAAGTGTCCCGCTCCCAAAGTGTCCCGCTCCCAAAGTGTCCCACTCCCAAATTGTCCCACTCCCAAATTGTCCCACTCCCAAAGCGTCCCACTCCCAAAGCGTCCCACTCCCAGAGTGTCCCGTTCCCAGAGTGTCCCGTTCCCAAAGTGTCCCACTCCCAAAGTGTCCCACTCCCAAAGTGTCCCACTCCCAAAGTGTCCCACTCCCAAAGTGTCCCATTCCCAAAGTGTCCCACTCCCAAAGTGTCCCATTCCCAAAGTGTCCCATTCCCAAAGTGTCCCACTCCCAGAGTGTCCCACTCCCAGAGTGTCCCATTCCCAAAGTGTCCCACTCCCAGAGTGTCCCACTCCCAGAGTGTCCCACTCCCAGAGTGTCCCACTCCCAAAGTGTCCCAGTCCCAAAGTGTCCCAATCCCAAAGTGTCCCACTCCCAAAGTGTCCCACTCCCAAAGTGTCCCATTCCCAAAGTGTCCCACTCCCAAAGTGTGCCACTCCCAAAGTGTCCCACTCCCAAAGTGTCCCACTCCCAGAGTGTCCCACTCCCAAAGTGTCCCATTCCCAGAGTGTCCCATTCCCAGAGTGTCCCACTCCCAAAGTGTCCCATCCCAAAGTGTCCCACTCCCAAAGCGTCCCACTCCCAAAGCGTCCCATTCCTAAAGTGTCCCACTCCCAAAGTGTCCCCCCCCGGGCTTGGGGATGCTCCTGTGGTTGTTCCCATCACCTCTCAGCTGAGGGATAAGCCAGCAAAACCAGATAAAATCTCTGCAATTCCTGTTCTGATCAACAGCTGGGAAGGTGCCTGAGCCCCCAGGCACTGCTGGCTCCATAACCAGGCTCTCTTTGGGTGGGAATCATGGAGTGGTTTGGGATGGAAGGGCCTTAAAGCTCCTCCAGCCCCACCCTGCCATGGCAGGGACACCTCCCACTGTCCCCAGTGTCCAGCCTGGCCTTGGGCACTGCCAGGGATGCAGGGGCAGCCACAGCTGCTCTGGGAATCCATCCCAACCCTGCCACCCTCAGAGGGAGCAATTCCTTCCCAAGATCCCATCTAATTCTCTCCCCTGTTAGTTTAAAGCCATTCCCCCTTGTTCTGGCACTCCAGGTCCCTGTCCAAGGTCCCTCTCCAGCTCTTTCAGGCTCCCTTTAGGTCTTGGAAGGCTCCAGTTAAATCCCTTTAGGTCCTGGAATTCCCAATTAAATCTCCCCAGATCTTTTTCTTTCTCCAGGCTGGACACCCCCAACCTTCAGGCAATAGTCTGAGAAAAGTCTCCTGCAGCCAACTGCAGAAAAATGCACAACTATCCAACAGCTTCTCAAATTCTGCATTTTTAGTTAATTAAATAAATTGATCAGGGAACCCAAATTGCTTTATGAGCAAGACTGACCTGAACCAGACTCTCCTAAACTCCTGCCCCTTCCTTGCTTTGGAAAGGAAACACAGCAAATGGAAAGATGGAAACACAGCAAAAATAAAAGAAGGAAGAATTGATTTGGTTTGATTTTGGTATTGATCTTCTACCCCCTGACATTTCTTTGAACACACAACCTATTTCTCTTCCAGCTCACTGAAACCTTCTCAGACTGCAGTGATGGCACCTCCTGAGCCAGGCTTCTCTTGCTCTGTGTCAGAATTGTTTTCTGTTCCACTCACAATGAGCAATGAGATCATTCCTGCCAAAAATCGGGGTGAGTTCAGCACAGGTGCTGTGACTCTTCCCCTGGGAGTGCCAGGCATTTCCTCCCCAGCCATGTGAAATATTAACACCACTCCCCTCCCTTTGAAGAGTCTGGCTAAGAAATGGCAAATCAAACCTGAATCAAATTCGGGTATAAATGAGGTACCTCTGAAACCCTGCCATCACCACAAATATGGAAAGCTGATCATTAGAGTTAAGAAGGCTGGAAAAACAATTCATTAACAATAAATCTCTGACCTTTGGAGCTGTTGGAATCAGTGTAAGTCCCTCAGCAGCAGGAAAGGATCCTGAGGTTCCCTGGGCCTTCCCAACGGTGTCCCTGCAATCCAGGAGTTTTCCATGGTCACCATTCCCTGGGGCAGAGGCTCTGGAGCCAGAGGATCCAGCAGGGCAGGGAGAAAGAAGGGCTCTGTGCTGATGGAGCATTTCCCATCATTGTGCTGGAAATGCCCTCAGCACTCACTCCCCTCCATTGTTCTCCTCTGGAACCGAGGGCAGCCAGGATGAGGGAAAAAAGGAAACCAAAATGTCAACACAGGTTGGAGCTTTCTGCAGGGAAACTCTGCAATGGCTTGCACAGAAAAAAGGGAAAGTTCTCCCTTTTTCCTCCATGTAAGAATTTCCCTTAAACTTTCTCTATTTGTTTGGACAATTAAATACTCAATTAAAAATCCTTTCAGAGGGAAAGGTGGATGATATCAGGGATTCACCCACAATATCACTTCAATCATGGGTTACATCTCTCTCATTAAATACATGTATATGTTGATTTATATTTTATATAGATGTGGCACTGTGGTGTTTGTCAACACATCACCAATTTAAAGAGACCTATATTTAATAAAAAATTATAGCACCAGGCTCTTAACTGGCAGCAAATTATTCAATCTGGGATAATTTCATCAATTTCATCCATACAAATAGTTCAGCACACTCTGTAACACCAATACCTGGAAGAATAAAATTCCACAATTCTGGCCCCATCCCAGAGAGGAGTGACAGGGCTGAGCTCACCATGCCCTGTGCTCACCATGCCCTGTGCTCACCATGCCCTGAGCTCACCATGCCCTGAGCTCCCCTGAGGGATGCACCAGAAATGCTGCCAGGGGCACCCAGGTTTGCTGGTTTTCCTGTCAAGTGAGAGTTTGCAGGGTAGACAGCAAAAGAAATTGGGAACAGTTCATGTCTCAATGTCTATTTAAAGTCTAAATGGTGGCTCTGGCTTGGAAAATGGGCCTTTGGTACCTTCAGATGTTCACAGAATCATGGAACTCCAGACTGGATGGGTTGGAAGGGGCATTAAATCTGTCATTCCCAGCCCTGGCATGGCAGGGACACCTCCCTTGGCCTTGGCACTGCCAGGGATGCAGGGGCAGCCCCAGCTGCTCTGGGAATCCATCCCAGCCCTTCCCCACCCTCCCAGGGAGGGATTTGGGTTATAAAACCATGTCCAGGATGAGTTAATTAATTTTTTTTTTCAAAGAAAAATTGCCTCCAGAGTTGTGGAATTTTATTCTGTGCCCTCTCCACAAGCTGCTCCTGGGGCCTGGCATGTCTGGAAGTCCCTTGGGCAGCTGCTGGATGGATCAAAGCACGCTGAGCTCACAGCTCTCACCCTTCCCTTGGAGCTTGTACAGGATCAACACTGGCCAGGCACTCCACACTCATGAAAAGCACCACACTGCCCACACTGAGCTTTGGAAAAGCTGAGATTTCACCAGATTTTTACATCCAAATGTTCAGCTGGGCTCCCCCATCCTCCTGCTGGTTAAGGCTGTGGAGAAATAAACACAGTGGTGCTGATACATTTCTTGAGGAAACAAGGCCATGTTTGTCCAAACACCGTGACTAATCCAGGGAAAAAGATCCTTTTCTCAGAAGTTCTGGGAACACACAGTGATGCAGAACAGAACAAAGGAGGAGTTATTGCTAATCACAACCAAGAAAACGAGATTATTGTGAGGTAATTCACTGATCAAAGTGAGATGAGAGAAACCAAACCACGCATCAGTATGGAAATGAGATTTTATATACATTAATTACTTAAAGAACTGCACATAGTTGCTCTGTTTTAATTCCATGTCCATCTAATACTCAGACTAAAATGCAATCCTGGTTGATTTTTAAGTCCCAGGAGTGGTGCCTACAATAACCAAATATGAACTTTGCAGTACAGACAAATCACAATGTGGATTTGGATTTGTTCTGTGAAATAATTGTAGGGGTTCCTGAAGACTAACCTGCCTTTCCTGCTGTCAGGGTGCTCAGTCTGCTTCAATCACCTGGTTACTGGAAATCCTGCAGAAGAGTGAAATTAAAAACCTGCAAACTGTCATCACACACTTTATAGGGTGAGCTGAAAATTGGATCATAGAATCCCAGAATCATTAAGGCTGGAAAAGATCTCCAACATCATCAAGTTCAATGAATAATTCCATGAGTAATTTATGTATCTACTGATATAAATACAGGCTTAAGTGTTTAACTTTGAGCAAACCTTTAAAAAACCTAAGTACAAAATTTGTATGTGAAGATAAAACACTTCATTTAAGTTAATTAATCTCCCTGCAACATAAATTCTTCTTACAGCAGAATTAACAATAAATTCTACCTGTTTTCCACTCTAAATAACATCTCCAGCTCCTCAAGGAAGGTCTCAATGAGGAATTTTTTGTGCTTTATTTTGTCTAAGAGCTGTTAACAATTCTGAAATCAATAATGTTGGGATCCCCTTTGGGGTGTGCCCAGAGCAGTGGCAGTGCAGGGCTGTCCCCACAGGGGTTTCTGTCCCTTCTGGGTTTTGATTAAAGGAACCTCAGAGCTCAGCATCCCCAGCTCCTGGAAAGGGGCACAGAGAGGGGACAGAGAGGGGACCGTGAGCAGGACATGGAAAATTCCTTTTCCTGAGGGGCCACTGCCACCTTGCAGAGAGGGGTGGCTGCTGAGACAGTGCTGGGGAATTTTGGTGAGAATCCCTGTGCTGTCCTCACCTTGTTCCAAACATCCCTGAGGCATCACCCCCTCGCTGTGCAAATATTTAATGCCTTCTCCAAACATTGTGCAACCAAACACCTCCCAAGTTATTGTGCTGTTGCAGCCCTTTCACAGGGACGTGCACTGAATCTTTACAGAATCAGTGTCACCAAGTCAGCATTACAAGGGGATTTTTGTTGCTGTCAGGTAAGTAAATGTTAGCCTCAAACAAATTAAAGTTTTGTGGGGTGAGGGGTTGTGCCTTCACATCCATCACCTGCCAGCAATTCCACCTGGGCAGTGCTGGAGGCTTCATTGCAGATTCCCATCTTTTAGGGATCTGCCCAAACATCTCTGGAGAGGCAGAAGTGCTGCAAGAGCTGTCCAACAACCAAACATCCCAGCTGAGCTCCCCTGTGACAGCCAGCAAGCGCTCCAAAAGGCAAATATTCCCCTCAGCAGCTCAGCTCCAAAGGGCTGCTTTAATTATGTTTGTTTTTAAACAGGCCTGAGCATGATCCCACACGCTTTTGTTACAGTTTCACGAGGCAACACGGTGATTTCAGGTTATTAACAGGGATTATTTGCTGCCCATGTTTATTCCTGGCTCTGGGTGATGGCAGCTCACTGGCCATGGAAGGGATTTGTTTGTCTGGAAAGGTTTCTCTGTTCCAGAACAGCTCCAGGATTCAAAGGCAATTATCCCAGAGAGGTTTGCCAATGTTCTGTATCACGGTGATCATCTGCAATGATTGACTCCCTGTTTATAACCCATGTCCTCTCACTGTCCTGGGTAAGGTCGTGGCAGATTCATTCCAACTTCCTTGCAAAACAACTTTTGGGGAAGTGCAGTAAAAGAGGATCCTGTAAATGCTGACGGGCTTGGAGTTTCTGAGCTTCTCTGTTTCACTGGGTTCACCAGGGGATTTTTCTGTGTGGGAATGTCTGACACTGCAGAAGTGTTGGTTTGAGACAGTAAAAACCCCAAAGTGAATGAAATGGGGCACTGAAGGTGACTTCACACCATGAACCTTCAGGCAACAGCAGCAGAAGTGCTGGTGGATAATTCACATAATTCACTGGGAAAGTGGGAACAGCAGCTAAGAGAGCTCAGAAACTTCCTGGTGCCATTTCAGATGTGCAGGACCTTGGCACACATTTTAAACCCAACATAAAAACACACAAAATAATGAAAACAGCATCAATGAGCTTGGTTTTAGCCAGAAGGTGTTACCAGACCTTCCTGGCTGACTCAAATATTGTCCCTTAAAAGTCAAGTGCTGGGGTCACCTAATTATGGCCTTCTGGTACCTGAAAGGAGCTACAGGAAAGATGGACAATTTGCAAGGGCCTGGAGTGACAGAACTGCTGCTGACACAAAATACAAATATTTCTTAAAAAAAAAAAATCTTATTTGTGATTTAAAACTAATCAGAAGCCTTCAAACCCAAATTTTCCTGGAAAAAATGAGCCTCACTAAATCAATACCCATATTTTATTCCTATAGGTAAGGTCAGTCCAGCAATGCATTAAAAGGTGACCAATTCATGGTTTAGCCAGCAAAATATTTGGAGAGTCATTAAAAACAAATTCTTGGGATTAATTATTGAGACTAAATCCCAAATCAGTTAAAATCAAGTAACAGAACTTGTTCATAACTACAACAAGATGGTGAAGTTAAAACTGGAAAAGTTGCACAACCAAATAAAGTGAGTTTTGTCCAATTTCACTGTATTAAATTACAGACAGCTGGTAATGATTGTGAGCCAGTGAGGTCTGGTGTATACAGAGGATATAGAAATCGCCTCCAAATATGAAACTAATTAGAGATAATTGGCACTGAACAAGCACTTGATGTATGAAAAAGGAAAATGCAAACCTCAGAATGCTTTTCAGAGCCACTGCCTGCACCAAGCCTTGCTTCCAGCTCCAGAGGGTCCAAGTCAGCTGTGGCAGAAGTGTGATGCAAACCTTGGGAGCTTCCCAGAATGTCCTGGCTCCTGCAGGGGGTGCAGAAGGGGACAGGGAGAGAGCTCTGGGAGATGGAGCTGGCACCAGCTCTGCCCCCCTTGGGCTGCAGCAAAGGATGTGGGATGAGAGGGGAAAATACTGCCAAGGACAAAACCTACCTGCACCACGTTCTAATTAACCAGAATACACAGAATCATGGAATGGTGTGGGTTGGAAGGACCTTAAAGCCCATCCAGCCCCACCCCAGCCATGGCAGGGACACCTCCCACTGTCCCAGGCTGCTCCAAGCTCCAGTGTCCAGCCTGGCCCTGGGCACTGCCAGGGATCCAAGGGCAGCCACAGCTGTGCCAGGCCTGCCCACCCTCCCAGGGAATTCCCAGTTCCCAATCTCCCACCCATCCCTGCCCTCTGGCAGTGGGAACCATTCCCTGTGTGCTGTCCCTCCATCCCTTGGAAATAGTCCCACTCCATCCTTCCTGTAGCCCCTTCAGAGGAGGCCTCAGTGAGGTCACCCCAAAGCTCCTCCAGGCTGAGCAATCCCAGCTCTCCAGCCTTTCCTCCCAGCAGAGCTGTTCCATGCCTCTGATCCTCCTCGGGACTCGCTCCAGCAGTGGATGCCTCCCCCAGGGCAGGCAGTTCCCCTCAGCTCCTCTGGTTCAGCTCTGACAGACGGCACAGCTTCATTTCACCAAAGAGCCTGAAGCAACCTTGGCTCTTGGAGGATGCATTTCCAGCTTGTAAGGGTCCAAAACCCTCAGAACTTAACAGAAATACATTTCCTAAATGTTGTGGTAGCACAAAACCTTGTGCTTGTACACATTTACAAACATGCCCCAGCCTTGACCTGGACCTGTTCAGCGCATGAACTTTTGTTTTTCCCAAGTCAAACTGTTTTGTAAATTCAGATGCAGGGCAGATTACGGCAGCATGGTCTCTGCGGCAGGGTAGGGAACTGCCCTGCGATTGTCCCTGCTGTGTCACAGGGCTCAGTGTCCTTGTCACTCTGGGTTACCGCGGGAGGAAGGGAACTGCCCTGTCACTGGGACAGCAGGAAAAGGAGGAGAAGGCGAGGGGGAAGGAAGCGCATCCAGAGTCAGGGATGGGGGCCCAGGGCTCGGCTCTGAGCCTGGCAGGCTCCTTGTGACAAACCTTAGAGCCTTTTACCTTTGTTTATCAAACTCCCTCCCCATGGAAGACACCGAGGCTGTGAGTGTGAAACCCCCGCGCAGGGTGGGTTTATCTCCTTCCCTGGGCAGCGTGAGCAGGAGCAGCTCCCTCCCCACCGCACCGCACCCAGCCGACATCCTGCACCAAAGCTTCCTCACCGGCCATCCCCGCTCGCCTGGCCCTGATCGGCGCTTCCTGCGCTCCCACGGCGTTCTCGGCGCCCGTCCCACGCCCAGCGCGCTGCAGGAAGGGCAGGACGGGGACAGCGGGACACGAATGGCACTGCCGCGCCCCTGCCAGGGCCAGGAGGGCAGGCAGCCCCGGGATTCCAGCCGGAACGGGGCATCAGCGCTGCCCCCTCTGCGCGGATAAACGAGAAAATGTTGGTTTCTTCCAGAAAAGTACTGGAGACAAACATGGCGTGTGTCCCAGTAAGGAAAATATCATCCCTCAGCTGGCCTTGGCACCAGCAGGGACACCTTCCACTAGTTCAGGTTGTTCCAAGCCCCCTCCAGCCTGGCACGAAAAGATACAAACTGTTAATTACAGAATCTGTTTCAGCAGGGAAAATAATAATCAATGAATTCAGCAAAGTTAGCTGGGTGGTATAAAAAACTGTAATAAAGAATGATATAGGTTATACCTATATAATATATATATAGGTGTATACCTATACCTATATATTATATAGGTATAACCTTTATTATATAGTAATAAAGGTTATACCTTTACTGTAATAACTTGCCCTCACTTAGGAAAGCCTCAGAAACACTAAACTTCCAGTTCTGTGAAAAAGCATTCCAGTAATAAAAAGAGACTTTAAGCTCCACAGGAGACAGTTTGAGTCCTTAAGCAGAGTTTTGATTTAGTTTTGATTTACTTCTCTGAGGTCCCAACCCTGAAACCTGCCCCAATACTCATGCAGAGCACAAAAATAGATTCCCAGCTGCACATACAAACCCCAGTCTGCTGGGATGGTAATAGAGCAGGTCATTAAAAACCAGCTTTTTTAACACAGGAAGTGCTGCAGCCTTTTACATTTTACCACATTCAGTCTCTCCAAAGGAGATGCTTCCAGGAGGAGCAAGGCAACAAGCCCACTTGTATCCCAAACATCATTTTAAGGGAATCTGGCTGCTCTCTTGTTGATTTTCTTCATGTTACCAAGACATGACTGTACTGGTTCCAAAAGCTTCACTAAGTGAGATTTATCCCAGAGATGAATGCTTCTTGTGCATTGTGTTTGGAATATTTCAGCTGTGTCCCAGGCAAAGCGTGCCATGGTCTGAGTAAGGCTCTGGACTTTTGGGAGGTGTTGAGTTGTGGTAACACTGAGAAGGAGCTAAGTGTGTTTTTGCAACCATTACCTGTGTGTGCTCTGATCTGTGTCAGGATTGCACATCTGGCTCGAGCTGCAGGCTCCCTTCAGACAAATCCTGTCACCCTCAGTGCCCCTGGCTCCCCTCAGAACCCCTGGTCCTGCTCAAGTTCCAGCATTTTTCAGGTCCCCCTGACTCCCAACCCTCCTTGAGTACCCCCTGTCCCCCTCACATCCTCTCAGATCCCCTGATCCCCCCTGAGTCCTCTTGGCTTCCCTTAGGGCCCCTCAAATCCCCTGGTCCCTCTCAAGTCCCCTTGGCTGCCCTCCAAGTCCGCAGTCCCCCTAAAATGCTCCTGGTTCCTCTCAGAACCCCTGGTCCCCATCAAGTGCCCCAGGCTCCCCTCAGTATTGACACCCCTTAAATTCCTCTGGCTCCTCTTGGAAGTCTCAGACCCCCTCAAATTCCCCAGCTCCCTTCAGCACCTGACACCCCTTAAATTCCCCAGGCTCCCCTCAGAAACCTCAGACGCCCTCAAATTCCCCGGCTTCCCTCGGAAGTCTCAAACCCCACTGGCTCCCCTCAATACCCCGGTCCCTCTCAAGCCCCCCAGCATCTTCAACCC